CTTGATAGCGATCGTCAAAAAGCTTTTCCTTAAAGCGCCGTCACGTGTTCGTGCATTCAAAGAAGCTGCTCCCGATCTGGCCTTTCCCCCCGAGCCAATCGTTACTCGGTGGGCTACGTGGGTTTCCGCAGCTCTGTATTATGCGACGAATTTCGGCTCTTCGAGATATGTGATCCGACAGCTCAATGAAGACGAGGCTGCCGCAATCAAGAGGTCGCGAGATCTATTCTGTGATCCAGATCAGAAGGACCAGTTGATTTTCATCGCCTGAAATTTCGCCGGCCTCTTATGCTCGATAACGAGACTTGAAGGCTCCAAACAATTGCTCAGTACAACTATCAGCGTCGTCGTAGAAATCAGACAACATGTATGACGTGTCCCTAAGTGGTCCGTTAACACCTCACGATACGACTCAGACCTTGACTATTGAGAGAATGATTTTTTTCCACAACGTCTGCTCTTATATATAGATACAGAAAACTTCGTCGTTGTATGATAATACACAACATTCCTCCCTTCAGTCGGATTGCGGCCAGAGTCTACGCAATCCGGCGAGGAGAGAGTAATCAGTCGGCTTCTTAGCAAGTCGAGTCGGGCTTGCTCTGCAAGAACCAGTCTTCAGTCACGGCCGACTTCACGTTGCCTTATCAAGAGCCACAAGTCGAAAAGGGATTTCCATATCAGCGCCGAACAATCGTATGAAGAACATTGTGTACGAAGAAGTATTGCGCTGAGGAACGGAGATCAAAAGCCCGGAGACACGAGAAAAAATTACCATTCACGAACAGGATCTCAGAAAAATATAATTGTCCACCTTACTCCACCATGGTGCTCGATCCATCTGTTCATAATACGAAGATCACTTGATATATGAAACAACGATTTTATTAGTCGCTTCCGACCCGACTTCCGACCTCTTCGTCATCGAAAATTCCTTCAAGATCGAGGAGCCCCAACTCCATATCCACCAGCCGAGGTTCCAATGACAAGGGGTTCTTGATCGTGCTCCGTCCGGTACAAATTACACACGGTTTGCATGTCGCGACCTTACCAGACATCCTCCTTGAATGTGGCCATTTCAATAGATCCACCAATCATCGACAGGTCGACATTGAGCAAAATCAGCTTTCGGCCCTTGGCTTGGTTCGTTCTCAGATTCAAACGCGTGACTATTTGGCGAATCTGTGCCGTGATGGGAACGATCGACACCGAAATCACCTCTGGATGACGATTCAATGCGATCTCACAAAGCTCCGGTTTGATACGGCGATTCCTCTTGGGCCAGCAGTAGAACACACACGTTCGAGTCAACCAGGCTTCCCCTGGGGAATCGGAGCAACTCTGCGACATCTACACTTCCGCCGAGTTCGACATCACCGTACTGACTTCACCCAACAGTGATCGTCGACGAAGCACTCTATTAGAGCTGTCAATCGATTAAGAGAACGACTTTTTATAGCCTGCTCTGATTTTCCATCAATATTTCATGTCCACACCCTTTGATTTACCAACGGCGACCGAAAGCCTCGCACTGACTGCGATCGAGAAGGATGAGTAGCCATGCTTCTTTTCAAGTCGAGCGATAGAGATCAGCTAACGCGCCAGCGCCAGAATGAGTAGATGCACCAGCTCACGGCAAACATCTTCTAGCTCGCCTTCAGACAGGGGTTGAAATGGCAAGACGATATTATATAGTGGAGAACAGGAGATTTGTGAGGATCGGAAAGTTCAATACTTATGATCGAATTAACATCGGCGCATTTACAAAACTTGAATTCATCTTCCAGAGTATATGTGTCTGAGCCTCTCTTCTGGAATTCGATGACATAGATGAAAGCAGCGACGGAGCCGAACACCAGTTTTTCATCACCTCATTGCATAGGCTCTTCGAGATACGGCTGAGGTGAACGCGAGAGCGAAGAGGGTCTGGGGATGCTTGGTCGTGTGCGCTTCTGGCGCATACGTTCCTGATGGCGCTCATGGTCCCTCTGAACATCGCCTATTGATCATTCATTGTCTCCAAGCGAACGACTTTAAAATGATGACGCGTGGAACATGATGTGGCTTCGATGAGCTGAGACGATTAAATTCTTTGTTAGTGATGAAAAAGAGGATCATCAAGTCAAGTCGGGCAGGAAGACCTGTCGAAAGTTCGAAGATCCTTTGTTGAGCCACGTTCAAGGTCGCGAGCCATGGTGATAGGCGGACTTTATCTTTTGAGCAGCAAAGAGTGTACGCGGTCTGCCCAGCCGACGTTCTCTCACCAAGAAAGTGCGCGGCCCTGCACCCTATACAATAGTCATTCATGTTGCCCAATGAATGAGCAGAAGTAGGGTAATTTCGAGGGTCGCGAGCCATACCCATCGTCCCTCGAGCTCTCAAAGTCTTTGTTGGACTCTCTGTAATCGATGCTGGGCAGCGTTCTGAACACGGATGGAGGCTCTCTCTGGCGAAGAAAGAGCGCACCGCAGCTGCTTCATCTTCGCTAACCCGCGCTCGGTGTTCACAATGCTGCTCTGCATTAAGATTTCGAATGGACTGCATTCCCTCTCCTGATTGGTTGGCTCTATTTCGCCGATTGCGCAGTCTGGCAAGTTGTCGATATGAGCGGGTCTTTCGATATGAGTCTATCGATAGTCTTTCTATGAGATTATCGATATGAGTCAAGACGACGCGAGTTTGCGCACTTCGGCAGGTTTCGTCTGTTTTTCAACCGTGAGATTCTCAGGGATCGAGTGCAGAGAGATGGAGTGCCCCATGGGACTATTCGTTATTTGTTATCTCCAAATTCGCATACGATCCGAAAAGAGATGTCACAAACAGGAACCTAAAGCAAAGCTCCTCTCAAGCATCTCTCTTTCGAGGAGAAGACATTATTTGTTTCATTGCTTATTAGGACTGTTTCACTAATGGAAGGAAGAATTGATCAAGTCGAATAACCATCATCCGAATGACGTCATCCGAAGCATTTCAGTCTAGGCGGATACTCATAAAGAAGTTTCCTTTCTTTCGGCATTTACTCCGTAAACGACTAATAAAACCTCGAAAGAAGGCCAACTTGCACACCGCGGTATCATCCCGCATCCGATGAGCCTGTTTGGAAGCGGAATTAAGGGAGGGAAAGCGTCGAAAAGTCGCGGACGGACGGACGGACGGACACAGCGCTTTTATTATATAGGGGGAAATACAGAAAACTTCGTCGTTGTATGATAATACACAACATTCCTCCCTTCAGTCGGATCGCGACCAGAGTCCACGCAATCCGGCGAGGAGAGAGTAATCAGTCGGCTTCTTAGCAGCGCGAGCGGGTTGAATGCGGCTTGCTGGAGCTGGAAGAACAGCAGGTAGAGACTCTGCTAGCGCAGCCGGGGAGACCGGAGGCACAGTCAAAAGGCTCCGAAGCCTCCGGAGTCGCAGACGGTTGAGAACTTCCCGGAA